GAAGAATAAGAATGGGGTGGAGCCCATTCGGCAAGCACTCTCAAATTATGACTGGTAGATTGCCACTATCCCTCAAGAGGAATGTATATAACAGCTGTATCTTGCCGGTACTTAGCTACGGAGCAGAAACCTGGAGACTTACAAAGAGGGTTCAGCTTAAATTGAGGACGATGCAGCGAGCAATGGAAAGAAAAATGATAGGTGTAACCTTAAGAGACAAGAAGAGAGCAGAGTGGTTTAGGGGACAAACGGAGGTTAAGGATATCATAGTTGAAATAGAGAAGAGGAAATGGACATGGGCCGGGCATGTAGCACGTAGACAGGATAACCGCTGGTCATTAAGGGTAACTAACTGGATTTCCAGAGAAAGTAAGCGGGTTAGGGGGAGACAGAAGGTTAGGTGGGCAGATGAGATTAAGAAGTTTGCGGGTATAAATTGGCAGCAGCAAGCACAGGACCGGGTTAACTGGCGGAACATGGGAGAGGCCTTTGTCCTGCAGTGGACGTAGTCAGGCTGATGATGATGACTGGTTTCTATCGTCACAAGTGGTCTCTGTGTCCCACTTACAATCATGCAGCTGTAGTGCATCTGTGAATGTTTGGGTGTGTCTCGAAAAGCAGTCTTTTCTTGGTCTGAAAGATTGCTTGCGACACAGTGCTTCCGCCAACATATTCAAATTTATACAATAAATTTTTCTCGAGTTTTTTTTCTTCTTTTCCGTCCCATGACACCCGCGAAATTGGACGATTTCCACCAGCTCCCATTTACATAATAACTACGAAGACCCTCATTCATTTACGGAGTGAGTGCCTTGAGTGTTTCATGTACGGCCAGATAAGTAGACGCTAGTTTCTATGCCATTTGCTGATTTGTTGCCCGCAATGTTGATTATTCAAAAGTAACGAAGCTCTCTCCCTGAAACTGTGTTCTTTTTTGTAGCTTGTAGCTTCTAGAACCGATATTAATTTCTCGATATCTACTTAAATCGTTGTTTTCTAATTAACGTTGATTCCTGTTCTTACATATTACATTTTTTGTTCATATCCCAGCGTAAAGGGCCAACATTCCTGCCTTTTCGTGTCTCTTTTTTAGTAATACAGGCACTGCGGAATCAGGCCATCGGCGAACCTTACATAAACGTACAGGAAGATATCTACAGTAGATCCATAGCAGCCATACTTCTCCACGAAGAAAGCGACAGAATCCAAATAAAGAAGTGTGTAAGGAAGGGAGACACGATCTCTCTAATGGTATACACAGAGTGTTTACAGGAGGTTTTCAGGGTCCTAGATTGGGAAGAGTCACGGATAAGAGTTAATAGAAAGTATCTCAGTAACCTGCGAATTGCTGATGACATTGCCTTACAACTCATAATTACTGAACTGGACAAGAAAAGCAGAAGTGCAGGTCTGAAAATCAATATGCACAAAACTAAAGTAATGTGCAACAGTCTCGGCAGAAAACAGCCCTTTGCGATAGGTGGAGAGGCGCTGGAAGTAGTAAAATAATACGCGTACTTAGGGCCCGTATAGTAGCCGCAGAGCTGAACCACGAGAGTGAAATAACTAGAAGAATAAGGATGAGGTGCATCACATCGGCAAGCATTCTGAAATCATGAATGGTAATCGGCCACTAACCCTCAAGAGAAGGGTATATAACAGCTGCATCTTTCCGGTACTTACCTACGGAGCAGAATCCTGGAGGTTTAAAAAGAGGGTTTGGCTTAAATTGAGGACGATGCCGCGAGCGATAGAAAGGAAAATAATAGGCGAAACTTTAAAAGACAAGAAGAAATCAGAGTTGATCCGGGAACAAAGCAGGGTTAAGGATATCGTAGTTGAAATCAAGAAGAAATGGACATGGCTCAGGTACGTAGCACGTAGGCAGAATAACCCCTGGTCATTAAGGGTGACGGACTGGATTCCCAAAGAAGGCAAATGCACGAAGGGGAGACAAAGTCAGGTTGGCCGATGAGATTAAAAACTTCGCAGGTATAACATGGCACCAGAAAGCACAGGTGATAGATCATGGGAGAGGCTTTTGCCGTGCAGTGGGTGTAGTCAGGTTGATGATGATGATGACGACGACGACGACGACGATGATGATGATGATGACGATAATGATGGTGATAATAATGATAATGAAATATTGATTGTTTAGCTATTCGAACAACCTCCTCCTCGTACCAACACCTGAACGTTTTTTCTCTTGCGTTTCTTGTTTTGGGAAACAGCGTTTGCGAGGTCTATTTTTGTAGCCACACCTTTTACTACTTTCATCCGCCAAAAGAAAAAAGAAGGTGTCGCAAATTTTCCTCTGCACGAATCGTACGACGCAGCAACGTCTGGGGAACTTAGCGCCGTGCATGCTGCCATATCAAGAATTCTAGTTTGCAAACTTGGCGTATCAAGCTCCAAACGCAGCAGCTGCCTTTGCACGCTGTAGCTTGGTGCGGGAACATAAAAGGCGCAGCTGTCAATGCACTAGCATCAGCTAAAA